CAGGACTCCAGATGGGGCCTCCCCAGGGCAGAGCAGAGGGGAAGGAGAACCTCCCTGACCTGCTGCCCACACTCCTCCTAATGCACCCCAGGATCCCATTGGCCTTCTTGGCAGCCAGGGCACACTGCTGGCTCATGGTCAACCTGCTGCCAAGCCTGGAAGATCCTCTCAGCCGCCGAGTGCCTGACCATCATGTGATCTGCAGGAACAGGTTTCACTTCCTTAGTGCCTAACGCAGCAAAGAGCGTGATCTGCGGGGCGAAAAACCACATTCAGCCCTGCTAGAGAAACCTCTTCCGTGCAAATCAGCTGTTTAATCTGTGACCCCCGTGCTTCCCGCACGCCCGCCCTCCATGGCTTTGTCCAGCAGCAGGGCAGGAGCCTCCGAGTTGGCTTTCTACAGGTTGGAATTCCTTCTGGTGATGACCGCAGGGTGTCCCAGCCCGGTGGGGCAGGGGCACGTCCCCAGCGGGAGCCGTTACACGCCTCTGCGATCAGAACAACTCATGATTCCTCCTGAAGCACGGCGTGAGCTCTGAACTGAGGGCAGAGCTGTGCAGCCCGACTTCTTCCTACCCTTCCCGGTGGCACCACGCATCAATCGCCTTCAGCTGAGTCTTTCAAGAACCCGTTTAAAATCAAAGAGCCACCCAAGCTTTTTCCTCGAAACGTTTTTTGGGAGGAAGACCACGCACGCGACGATCACCAGCAGGCATTAAGAGCCACCAGAAGCCACGGGCCGCCTCTTGATGCATTACAGACCACTAGTTTAGAGAGAACACAAGAAAACTCGACTTACTGCCCAGAGCCCTTACGTGGCCGCAGACCCCGCGCACCGCGTGCTTCTCCCGCCCCACTCCAACCAGCCAGCCTCAACGCACGGCCCCACCGGCACGGCCGCTCTCTTCAAGCTCATCTAAACTTGAGCTTGCTAAAGACGTCTCTCGCCCTGCTCCCGGCTGAAGTTTGCCTTCCTCCTCCTGCGGGATCGTTACCGAAAGCAGGAACTGGGTTTAACGGCAGCGGAGAGGAGACTGAAGCGTTACCGTACGCAGCGCCGTTGCCAGCAGCTCCAGGGCGTTTCAGGGATTCCTGGTTTTCCTCCTGATTTCAGTGGTGCCCAGCGACAGGACAAAGGGCACCGGGCACAAACTGAAGCTGAGGAAGCTCCAGCTGAAGATGAGGAAGAACTTCTTCCCTCTGAGGGTGACGGAGCCCTGGCCCAGGCTGCCCAGGGAGGCTGTGGAGTCTCCTTCTCTGGAGATATTCCAGACCCTCCTGGACAAGGTCCTCTGCAGCCTGCTGTGGGTGACCCTGCTTGGGCAGGGGGTTGGACTGGGTGACCCACAGAGG